TTCTATCAAAAAAAAAAAGCAAGGAAAATATCCATTCCATCTCTTACTGTGTGTCCTTAAGCTTTTGAGCCCTCTTTCCTCTGCAAAATGTATACAGATACTACAAAGAGTTGTGAAGATCAAATAAGATAAAATATAAAAACACTTAAATTATGACACATTTTAAAAATTTCACTACTGAGTTTATTTTCACTATGTATTTGCCACATATTTCTCTTTTCTGGGCCCTCTATACTCGACCTACTGCCTCTATCAGCCATTTATGTGACTGCCATGGGATGAAGAATATCCCAGACCTCAGACATCATATATTCGATCTGATACTGCCCTTCAGCTTGACAAGTGCAGGGCCAAAAAAACGTTTTGTTTTTTGGTTGTTGATGGCAGAGCAGGGTTTTTCAGTATTTTTTATTATTATAAAGAAAATCCTTTTGAAGATAATGCATGTGATAATCATAAAAGTAAAGTTCAAAAAAAAAAAAGACAGTATGAGTCTCATCTTTATTTAATTTGGCATTGTTTTAATAAAGCTAAAACTGTGGTTCATGGTCTTGACAGCTTGCCTGATACCAAAAAAAAAAAAAAAAAGAAAAAGGAGGAGAAAAAAAGATGGAGAGAGACAGATGAACTGAAATTCCTTTGATCTGGATCCTAACTCTAAGGAAACCCGAGATAAATCAATGAGTCAGAGAAAGGGCAGTAAGATGTAAGCCAGAGTACTGATGACAACAGCTGTCTGTCTGCCTACCTGTCTTCTGAGATCATCATCATGGTATGAGATCATTGCCCAGGCCCAAGAAGACAGAACAAGATGGAGGTCCATCAGAGAATTACCGGGCCTGGGCCTGTAGCATTTTAACTACACTTCCCAGGGGTGAGAACTAGACACTCAAGCACTGGTTTTTATATCCATTTCTTAAGATATGAGTCAGTCTGAGTAGTGATAGAAACCTGCAATGGAAAAAAAAAATAAATAGGAAAACCAGTATCCTTTTTTTTTTTTTTGGGGGAGTTTTTTTTTTTTTTTTTGTTATGAGGGGGTGGGCTGTTGCACACGGGCCGAGAGACATAGAGAAAGCGAGAAATCACTCCCCGGGGGGATGGTCACGCAGCAATCCCTTTTCCTCCATTCTCCTCTTGGGATTTTGGGCACGCACGCACACACGCCCAGCGTGAGTTTTAAGCCACCGGGTCCGGGATGTGAACCGCGGTCGACTACGTGGGAGTCCAGCGACATAGCCATTACGCTAACTGCTGGTCCGAAAACCAGGATTTTTGAGGAAAATTATAAATAAACTCATACATTAGAAGTCTTCTTTTATTTTTTGTATGTTACTGCACAAAGAACATTGGCATGAGAGTAAGGAAATGAATTCTCCTTTCATATCTGTCACTAATTATATGATTTCAGGAAATAACCTCAATGGGCCAATTTCCTCATCTTAAAGGGAGGGCAAGAAAATAGGTAAGGTTTCCTTCAAGCTCTAAAATCCCTTAAATATAAACAAAAGTGTATTTTTTAAAAAAACCACTAGAGGACCAGGTGGTGGTGTGGTGGTTCTGGAGTATGTATGTATGTATGTATGTATGTATGTATGTATGTATTTATAATGAGAGATTTTTGCTGAAGGGTGCATGCACTTGCCAGAGAGACAAAGAGCAAGGAAGTAAGAAAGCAGCCCCCAGAGGGGATGGCCACACCACAATCCCTTCTCTTCCATTATCCTCTCAGGATTTTGGGTATGCACGCATATGCACCTAGCATGTATTTCAAGCCTCCATGTCTGGGAGTCAAATTACATTTGGGTCTCTGTCTCACTGTTGTGGAGTTATAAACTAAAGGGTCTACACTAGCTGGACAGAGGCAAAGGGCCTACCAGGTTAAAGCTTTATATATTAGCTTACCAAGCACTGAGCTGGAGAATTCCTCCATTATAAAATACACTAGAGCTGATGATAGGCCCCAACACTCCCTTAGCCTTAGCTTCAGAAATTCTATAATGTCCAAGATCATTCCTTCTCTAATTATAATGATCCAGACAGGCTTCCGGATTGTAGTTGATAGGGGCTCTACTTGTGACTTGATTCTAACAGTAATTTAGCCATGCACATCATAGGGAGACACACACAGCACACTGTACATTCTGAGATGTGAAAGAATTTCAACTTTGAAAGCCATGCTTTCAATGGCAATAGTTTGGGGTATGGACTGCTTAAAATACAGGATGGTGGTTAGAGGATCCACTTCTTAATGTAAGAACAGATCTCAAAATACTTCAATAAGATCTTCATTTAAAGGTTATGGGTATTGATTAGGGAAAGGATGCCAAACGAAATTTCATCATTCATTAAAAAGTACTGAATGTCTACAATGTGCCTACATCAGAGCCAAAATATAAGTTAACACATTGTCTTTAATTAACCAGTAAGACATGTCAAAATAATATTTAGTGTAAACTATAAAGGTGATACTACAGAAATGGAGGAGGAAAGGCTAACTCTATCAAGCCAGTTTCACAGAAGGGCATCTGACTACATCTGAAGAATCAGTAAGAGCCCACCAGAAAGTAAACAGAATGAGGGTCTTTCTATACAAATCTCTCCAACATGTTCCAGTTCCAAATACTGAACAAAAACTATTAGAAACATAATGTACACTGGAACTCTGCAATCATATTCACTATCCTTAGGTTTAACTTAAGGTAAACACTTTGCACCTTGAATTATCTAAAGGGGTTTAGTTACTTTAAAAGTCTCAACAGACAGTAATTCCACCTATGAAGTATATAACTGTATTTTTGGAGGGCCAAATGTTCTATAGCTAGAAAATCCATGACTCACATAGTACAGTCTAAATGTCTTGACTTTTCAGAAGAATGGATGGCTTTTAGCTTACTCAGATTTCATAACAGTTTTTTTTTCATTTATCATAAATTACTACAGAATATGTTACTACATAGCTGTCATATTACTGTTACAATCTAGCTAATGGCTATAACTAATTCCACCTATGAAGTATATAACTGTATTTTTGGAGGGCCAAATGTTCTATAGCTAGAAAATCCATGACTCACATAGTACAGTCTAAATGTCTTGACTTTTCAGAAGAATGGATGGCTTTTAGCTTACTCAGATTTCATAACAGTTTTTTTTTTTCATTTATCATAAATTACTACAATATGTTACTACATAGCTGTCATATTACTGTTACAATCTAGCTAATGGCTATAACACTTCAGGAAAAATGGTAATAATTTTACAAAATCAATACATTATTAAAGATTTTAAACATTTAGGAGTGACAGGTACTAGAGAAATCTACTATTATACCTCTCTATACCTAGTTTCTCAACTTTTACGAATGTAAGCAAGAGAAAGAAAGTTCACATTCCCACTATTCTTGACAGGCCTTTTGTTCTACCTGTATCCAGCACCCTTGTCAATTTCATCCATACTTGTCTTACATACTACTATCTTTTACAAGTTTTATGAAGTAGCTGGTCCAACAGATGGGTGGCTAGCCCTGCCCAACATATGTCAAAGGAAAAACTGCTCAAAGGAAAGAAGAAAATATTAAGTATGCCCTGTTCCCTTTTTAGGGCTGGGAATATGGAGACTACCTCAGGGGAAAGCAATCACTCTTCCAATCTTTATTAAGAAAAGTTACTGGACTGAGATGATCCATGAGTAACAAGGTGATCAAAGAAGGAAGAGAGAGTTCAAATACTAAAATTTATCTCTCAGGATTAAATATGCACTTGCCCACACATAGCAGAGAACTGAAATACAAACAGGGGAAAATAATCTAAGTCAGTTTAACTGGGAGCTAGTTCATAAAAGTCAGATGGGAAACATTCAGATAAGTACACTATCTTGCTTAGAACACAAAGCTCAATGGGTCTGTGGGAGGAAAAGGAAAGGTAACCTGAAACACAAACTATTTGAAAAGAAAATTTCTACTAATAAATGACACATTATGGTCACATTTGTAAAACAAGAAAGAACAAAATGTAGCTATAGCTTTCCTCTTTGTCCCTTCTCTGTCCATAGGCTTAATCTGATAGCATCTGATCCTGTCTCCAACTGATGTATATCTGTATCTTTCAACATACTATCTTAAGTACTCCCCAAGGAGACCAATTCTGTCAGAAACAGTATCTGTCAGAACTTAAGGAGTCTTATTTTTCTTTGAGCAAAGGACAGTGGATGGGAAAGAGGTCCCCAAATACCACTTGCATGAATCTTGTAAAATATGCTCTAAAACAGGAAAACACTACAGATTACATTTTAGTTGAAGTCTAAAAATAACAAAAGAACATTCTCTATTTTTAGATATCTGACTTATAAATTTGAAACACTAAAAAGAAAAAGAAACCAATAAAAACTAACTGCAATTTTTAATGTTCTAAAAGATATTTTTGAATCAGAAAGCAGTTTTTAGAGATGAAATTTCAAAAATCTTGTATTCTTTTGACTGTCTCCTTGTTCAAACTTCATCTTCTCAAAATTAAGTCCCACTCCTATCAAGAACATTTCCACAGAACCAAAAGATGCTATATAAAAAAGGTCATACCATGTGAGAGAAAGAACAGCCAAGGAAACAAATTAAAAGATGCTTTCACAAAGACATAAAAATAGAATGCAGATTAGTGATTAAAGATAGTACTGTATAAAACAGCAAAAACAATCGATTTATCCTCCATTATAAGCAGCACCACAGACAATATTAAAATACTTAGAGTAAAGACTTTTTTTCTCTCAAATAGGTCTCTTCACTGAACAGTCTTAAGATCTGTAAGCATCTAATTCAAGCTATGTTTGAATAACTAGCATCTGCAATTAGAGAAAAATTATTTTACAGTTAAAACCTGGAGATCTAGTACATATACTGGACAACTTAGGTTTTACCTTCCTATCTCTGTTTAATCCTAGTAAAAACATGTGCAACCTTTTTAAAGAAGCCTATGACAGTTAGGATTTGCAAGAAATACAAGAATTACCTGACTGTACAGCCATCATTAACATTTCAGGTTCCAGCAGAGTCATGACGGAGTCTTCTCAGAAACAGCAGCCCATAAACACAATGAAGAAAGTCAAAGTCACAGAAGAAAGATGTCTTCAGAAGCTACAGCAAGTATTCACAAAGTCAATCTCATGCCTCATGTTCAAATCAGACTGTGAGACCTCACTCCCCTCAGTGCAGTTATCAATTTATCAACGGTTCAGGCAAGTCAAGATGGCACAGAGTTGAATTACTGCCGACAGGAAACCAAAAAGCACTCAAGTTAAGACATACGAAGTGTGGTTAGAACAGTGAGTGAGCTCCTCCCCTTGCTAGTCGCCTGACGGGGGAGGGAGAGACATACAGAAAGGGACTTTCAGAAAATAGATCTTTTTTTGTTCCTCTCTTTTTAAGAAGAGAAGATGAAGTTTTGTTCAAAACCTTACTATAAGGAAGCTGCTAATGCAGTTCAGAGCAAGAGATTAAACACAATCCAAACGACTCAATCTGACCAGCTGTAATGGGAAGTAGGAATGGTGATCAGACACATAGAACCACATACACAAAAATAAATATGTACACTGAGGAAGTTTTCTGGGAAATAATTCCAACAGCTTTTTTCATCTGTGATATTTATAGATAACAGGCTAAGGAAGTTGAACATTTAACTACAGAAGCTCAACTATTTCTCCATCCCCATTGCAATTAAAATATCTGCTTCAAAGTCAACTGAAAACATTCCAAAGCCGTAATCTGCCTTTCTGATCTACCAATACCCTAAAAGAATGCTTACTTGTGCCTATGTGAGACATGCAATCTGTGAATAGAAAGCTTACTGGTGTTTTCTGACTATTATAAAATGCTTTATGATCATGCTGGGTGAATAGAACACATAGGAGGATGATTCCAACAGATAAGAATTTCCCTTCCCTGATCAAAGAAACTTTGATCCATTTCCCGCTGGCACAGAGATCTTCTGAATAAGAACAAATACAGACAGTTTTAAAACATTTATTTAATTTTATTTATTCATTTATTTATTTTAATTTGACCAGAGAAAGAGAGAGAGGAAAATGAGAAAGCAAGCTGCCAGGTCCGGGACTCAAACCATGGTCACTCATGTGGAAGTGTTCAGCACCTTAACCACCATGCCACCTGCTGGTCCCCAAATATAGGTATTTTACTTTCCATTGTAGTCAACTAAAATCCTTTCAAATTATTTTTTAAAAATACATTTATCTCACATTTAAACCTTATTTATTCCTTTCACAGTACTTTAAAAAAAAGTTTTTGCCATTGGAGAGAACGAGACAGAGACAGTGAGAGGAAAAGTGAGAAATCACACCCTAGGGGGGATGGCCATGCCAATATCCCTTTTCCTCCATTTTCCTCCTGGGATTTTGGGCACACAAGCACACACACCTGGTGTGATTTTCAAGCCATCAGTTCTGGGACTAAGATCACAATAGGCCATATGGGAGTCCAGCCGCGTAACCACCATGCCACCTGCTGGTCTCTTCACAGTACTTTTCGATTTTTTTTTTTTTTTTGGAGAGGTTTTTGCTATAGGGCGCATGTACTCGCCAGCAAGAGAGAAAGAGAGAGACAGAAAGTGAGACATCACCCCCCAGGGGGGGTGGCCATGCCACAGTCCCTTTTCCATTCTCTTCTCGGGATCTTGGGCACACACGCACACGCACCCGGCGTGAGTTTTAAGCCACCGGGTCCGGGATGCAAACCGCAGTCAACTACATGGGAGTCCAGCGACATAGCCATTCTGCTAACTGCTGGTCCCTCTTCACAGTACTTTTTACTGTTTCACAATAATGATAATTAAGAGGCCTTTTAGCATATTCTATTTTTTTAAATTTAAGAGATAGATTTTTTAACGTGCTTTTTTCCCTTCAGAGAGTGAGTGAGAACTCCAACAGTATCTTTTTAAAAGGCAATTTCTAAATAATTATTTATTTAACTTTATTCATTATTAGTAGTATTTTAATTTGCTATAGGGCATGTATGCGCACCAGAGAGAGAAAGAAAGAGAGGGAAAGTGACAAAACAAGCTGCCAAGTCCAGGACTCAAACCACAGTCAGCCATGTGGGAGTCTAGCACCTTTAACACCATGCCACCTGCTGGTTCAACCAACAGCATCTTCACACTGTGATCTACCTCCAGTCTGGGTCAGCCTGGATTATGGGCACATATGTGTGTTTGTTCAGGGAGGTCCCAGGATGTCAATGGAAGACCTTTCCTATGTGGGTCCAGTTATATTACCACTGAATCACCACCTGGACCAAATGATTGATTTTTGAGTGTCTCACCATCATTCTGTCCCAGCTGACAAGGACTATAGGTGGGTTCCACCAGCACCTGGCTGTTTAGGTTGGGAAGGCTCTGAACTAGGGCTTGCCATGTGGTCCTAGCTTCCAAGCAGCAGCTTCTTAGCAGTGTGAGCCTGAACTGATGGTTGCGATACTACTTTCAAAAAATGGACTACAGGTGGGCACACTCACGAAAGACAGAAATGGGGGTAAGGGGATAGGGGAAAGAAATGGGGCACAGTTACACCACAATTCCTTCTCTATTTCTCTATCCTATTAGAATTTCAGGAACACACACATGTGCACCCAGCATGTTTTTCAAGGCACTAGCGCCAAGATACAGGATCTGGCTCACTTAACCACTAGGCCACGAGGCTGGCCCAATCGTTGGCTGACTTTTAAACAGCCGAAAAGTAGAAATCCATGTTTCATGTGTTCATCTAGAATTTCTCAATTTTTCTGGCTAAGTAGTAGCCTGTATCTTGAAAGCTGAATGCTGTGAACTCAGCCCAGCAAATACCTTCATACTTATAGAAATGAATGACAAATGAAAGCACCAGACCTTAAGGGTACAAAACAAATGATTGAGGGCAATATACTGTTATAAAAAAAAAAAAAGAGAGAGAGAAAGCAATGCAGATTTGGTGTAGGGGGCATTCTGTGGAAGACAGAAAAACTTCCTTTTTTTCTCATTCCAAGAACACCATGTTTAAAAGAAAAGCAAGAAAAGCTCTATATAGAACTGTGGGAATGACTCAACATGCAATGGAGTGGCAGCCAGTGTGGGCTGAATGCTGCTCTGGGAAGGCAGAAGAATTCTCACCAGCCCCTTCTGGCAACCAAGCTCTCAAACTGTTTTATGAAAAGTGGGTAAATTTCAACTCTCAGACTACTTGATAATCTGGTCAGAGGTTAGCAACTAAGAGAAAAGCATCCCTAAAAAGTTTAGTCATTCCTCTGTCCCTGTGTGGGTTATACAATTTGCTATGTGAGGGTTTTCCAAAAGAAACCAGTTCTCACAGTTCTATACTCACAGGAAAATATGAATTACAGATTCCTGCACAGAGATGGCAGGTGGGCAGAGGGTTGTGTTCCTCCTGCCCAAATACCTCCCTTTGCTATACAAGAGCGCTCACGATGCCACAACATGGGAGATACTGACAGTCAAGTGGTGGTAGTAACCATAAAATACCAGGTTTCACTTTTTCACAGCAATTCCACATTCATTTACACTTTGGGATAAAAAAGAACTAAAGAGGGACCTGGAGTTGGTGTAATGTCTACGTCACTGGACTCCCATGTAGTCGACTGCGGTTCGAGTCCTGGACCTGGTGGCTTAAACTCACGCCAGGCACGTGTACATGCGTGCCCAAGATCCCAAGAGGAGAATGGGGGAGAAGGTGTAGCCATCCCCTCTGGGGGGGGTGAATTCTTGCTTGCTCGCTCGCTCGCTCTCTCTCTCTCTCTCTGGTGAGCAAACATGCCCTATAGTAAAAACTTCTCTTAAAAAAAAAAAAAAGAACTGAAGAAAAAAACTTTTATTTTTTTATTTAATAATTTTTTGGGGGTGGGGCTACAGGACATGTGTACTCCCTGGAGAGAGAGAAAGGAAAAGTGAGAAAATACCTCCAGGAGGGATGGTAACAACGTAATCCCTTCTCCTCTGGGGATTTGGGGCCCATGTTTTTCAAGGTGCCAGGTCCAGGACTTGAACTGCACAATCAGCCACATCCAGTTGCCTTGACCACCAGGCCAGAGGCTCCCAAAACACAAAAAAAAAAAAAAAAATTTTTTTGTTTTTGCTATAGAGCTTGCCAGGGAGAGAGAGAGAAAGTGAGAAATTTCCCTCACCCAGTAGGGATGGCCACATCACAATCCCTTCTCTTCCATTCTTCTCTTCTGAGCATGCACACATTTGTGCACGGCATGATTTTCAAGCCACCAGGTCCAGTACTCATACTGCAGTCACCTGCCTGCCATCTGCTGGCCCAAAAAACAAATTTTAAAATGGAAACATTTAAAAATAATCTTAAAAATTAAAAACAAAAAACAAAAAACCCTAACATTACAAGAAGGAAAGTAAGGTTTCCTAGTGCTCCAGTTTGCATTTGCCCTCAAGAGTGTCAACACAGTAACAGATTAGTTGGGTAAACAGACCCTAAACGGATTTCGCAGTTCTGAAAGTTTAAACCCCTATGAGCGCTTCAGTTCCACTGCTTTTTATGTCGTGTGCAAATTAGCAAAATTTCATAGAAACCAACTGAAGTCAACTTTAACAAGGACTCTGCACAAATGAACATTTTTTCATGTTAACAGCAACAACAGAATGAAAGGTAATAATCTTAATTTCCAATTTTAAAAAAAGCTTTGCTTTTAATCATAACTTTAGCTAATCAATGCAGATTTGATATGACCTATAATCTCTATTAATTAACCTTCTGGGGACATGCTATTGTAGGATATCATATAGTTTTTACAGGTTTAATAGTTTTTTAACAATGTTTCATAAGTAATAATAATGTAACTTTTTATATATAGTTTTCCCACTCTCACCTTTCCTAAAAAAGAACTTTAATGTTAAAAATCAATAGGATCTAGACAAGTTTTTATCCTAGTTAAAAATCAATAGGATCTAGACAAGTTTTTATCCTAGTTGACCTTCTGGGATTTGCTGCTGGGAGTTACTTTTCTTAAAACTTCCCATTTCTATATTTTCTTTATACTATTCTACCCCTTTAACCTTTCCTCTGAGAATCCTAAAAATCACGCCAGCCAAGCAGCACAGTGACATGACCATGCCCTGATGGGGGTTGCTTCCTCCCTCTGTCTCTCCCTGGCTAGTGTATATGCTCTTTGGCAATTAAAAAGAAAAAAAGAAAACTAAATGGCTTCTCTTTCTCTGCTTCTCTCAGAGGCACCCATTTCCTCTTTTACATACTCTGGGC